CTGTGCTGCATGGGGTCATGCAACGTCTGCGTCTCCGTACGTGGTTCATCTGGCTGATGACGCACTGACGACGCTGAGAGAGCCGCTGGAGTCGACGAGCGAATAATGCGTCGCACTGACGTGAGGATAGTGGGTATTGTTATGGGTGTCTCATCTGGCTGCATGACTACATATGGGCACGCGCCACGTGTGGCGCGGGACGTGAGCAATGGCCTGACTGGATGGACTGGTCGGAGCCGAGTGTGCTATGTGACAGCTGCATGACGAAGTTTCCGAATTCTGAATTTATTTGCATCCGTATCTGCATGCTACTTGGGAATTTATTGCACCTGCATGTGCTTGGCCAGACAGCATCTCCCTGCATGCCAATTTACTGCATTGGTTCGTGTGTACCTGCATGGAATGGCGACCCGCAAGCGGCGGATGCATGCGAGCTGGGACGGGGTCGAAGAAGCTTCGATGTCGGATTTGCCTGGAACCAGCTTGGTGCGCTCAGCCGAATACAGTGCGAGATTGAGCCACTTCAAGATGTGTGGACAGTGGGATGGAATAGGACGTCCTGTGAATGCGTGGATGCGTGGTGGAAGAGCAGCATTACAGTGCATGTTAAGGAGTCGTGGGAATTCAGATGCATGCTTGATGAAACATGCGGAGACTGTGGTATGGTCTAGGCTAGCTACAGTGGTTTTGAAACAGTGCTGGCTGATGAGCTGTGTCCGTGGCCTTACTGTATAAGGTTCTGCTTAGACCGTGTTACGTTACTGCGTCGAGTCCGCATGGGCAGCTCTGTTGGCCTACTTATGGCCGTCGAATCGGGCGGTCATATCTCGTGGAGCCGAGTGGCGCGTGTTATGCGTGGCTGCTTGCGTGACGGACTTGTGTGGAGCCTTGCCTGCTGCGTGCGAGTGTGAGAGTCGAAACCCCAAAACCCTGAACCCTAAACCCTGAACCCCTAAGCCCCAAAACCCTAAACCCTGAACCCTAAACCCTAAGCCCCTAAGCCCCTAACCAAGACCCCGAAGCACGACGAGCCCAGAGGAGACTGCACGTGCCCGCATCCTCAAGGCCGGTGGGGAGCCTTGGCTTCAGAAGGATGTTCATCGCTACCTCTTTAAAACGCACATTATTTGTTTCCATACTCTATATTTATACATATATATATATAACAATATATATATATATATATGTATGTGTGTGTACATGGCTACACACGTGCGTATGTATGTATATATACACACATTTGTCATGTTACACTTCTGTCGTTCATGTTTTATACTAACGGGTTGCTGCACCTGCTGTATATGGTCCCGGTCTGGGGACTGGTTTTTGTCAGTTCCAGTTCGCTGCTGGAGCAACTGGTGATATGGGGTGTGGCAAGTTCGACGGCAATTGGAGTCCTGCTGAAAAGGTCCCAGGGCTCGCTGTTTGCTTTGTTCTAGAATCTGTTTGTGTATGGGGGTCATAACTGAGTTCCTTTATCTTGACACGTTTACCGTCTCACGTTTCATGTCTCCGGTTCGCAATTTCGGGATCATGCAGGGTTTAGGAATGCTTGTGAGATTCGATTTTCAAGGCCCCAAAAAACTGGGTTTCCAAACCCTACACTACCTAAACGCCTAAACCGTGTTCGATCGCGGGTTAGGGTTTGGGGCCGCTAACTCCCAACCTAAACCTTTAAACCTTAAGAGCCCCAAGCCAAAAAACACTCTTCGAACTTAAGGAGTGCATCACCTTCGACACCTTGGCCATGCGGAGCCCGCTTGGGATCCATGGCAGTGCTTAGTCGGGGTGCAGGCTTTAAGGAGCGTTTCAGGTTTCGGATAAATCTAGAGATCTAGGGGCACCCAAGGTTCACAAGATATCTCCGGGTTCAAACAAGGGGCAGATCTAGGAGGGAAGGGCTGTCTGTGGACACATTGGAGTAGCTTTCAGGCCATGTTGCTTGTTTTTCTGACTGTTGCCTTGGCTTGAGCCTGCCAGGTTGGTTGGCTGTCATGTGACCCTAAACCCTAAACCCTAAACCCGAGACCCTAAACCCCAAACTAGTGTTCCCTTTTTTCGGGAGCCTTTAGTTTGTCCCGTGGAGCCTGCGGCAGCTACCGCTGTCATACAGTTGCTGGAGGTGGTGTTCTAGGCCAGGCATGCCTGGCCTGCACTGCCCGGCTACGACCCTACTTGGAGGTTCATGGGTAGTTATAAGGCTCCTTTAAGGGATCCATATGAGGGTTCTCCATAAGGGGTCCTATAAGGGGTCTATAAGGGGTCTACTTGGAGGTTCATGGGTAGTTAAAAGTGGGGCATAAGTAGGGTAACTATAATTATAACCCATATTAGGGGACCTATAACCCCACTTATAACTACCCATGAACCTCCAAGTACGACCCTAAAAACTGCCTAAACGCCTAAGGAAGGGCACCGTCCTCCTCCGTGGCCCGGTGAAAGGGCGCGAGGCCGAGCGCCACTTCGGCAAGGCCAGGCTCTGGGAGGAAATGGGGATTTGGCGGAGGTACCGATGGTGTGGAGCCTGTTTTTTTCCCTCTGTCCCTCCGTCCGTCCGTCCGTCCGTCCGTGTGTGTGTGTGTGTGGGCCAGGAGGTATGTAGGGTGAAAGGGTCAAGTCAAGGCGACATATTGGCGCCATTAAAGGCACAGTCATAGGTGAGCCTACCGACGCCATTCCCTTCCACCTGGTGTCATTGGAAGATAGGTCCAGGCTTGCCTGCCTGCTACGATGTACCACCAGTGGCCCAGCAAACGTCTTTCGCTCGGGTGCAGTTGGAAGTAACCCTGACAAGACTTCGGGATTGGTTCAGTGAACCCTCAATCAAAGCTTTCTTCGAGGCTCAGTGCCCTCCACATGCATATATACATGCATGCATGAACACATACATACGTACATGCACACATACGTACATACTACACATATTATGGATGCGTGCGTAGATGCGCACGTGCATACATTGCTTTGCCTTGCCTCGCGTTGGAGCAGATTACAGAAAAATCGCATGACATTCAGGCCCTAGATCATATTACAATGCGCTACCTCATCCAATAGCACGATATCTGTTACGATGGTTTTCATAATTGAAATTTATGTACCACTTCATTCGCATTGATATGATCGTTCCATCTGCATGTACATTTGTTTTACATTGCATTACATTTCGCCGCACGTTATGTCATTTGATATGTCATTACATTATACTGCATTATATATCCCATCACAGTACAGCACATTACATAGACTACCTTCACATGTGCATTTACACTGCGTTGCGCTACTCTGCCTCTACATGCATACGTACGTACATGTACCTAAAAAAACCATGGACTATCTGTGCGCGCAGGGAAAGTCTTAAAATACCTACGTATATATATATATAT